GTCTTTTGTTTTCTCCCCCGGATAGTCCCTACTTGGACATGCATTTCTCTCATTCCCTAACAGTTTGACGCTCCTGTGGTTTCCGGGAGGTATTCACCAAATAGTACTATTTTAGCCTGGATGATTTGGGGGTTATATTAAAGCATTACCGGTGAGAACGAGACAGCCTTGAACCCCCCTCCGGAATGCAACTCTCCCAAGTTGTAGGGATGTTACTGACAGAGTGTCCTCTCCTCGCTATCTGTCGCTGATGGTACTTTTCTCCATGGTCCCTCATCCTCAGTAGCAGATAAATTTAGGGAAATTAATTTTTCTGCTGATGCTATGTTACATCACTTGTGCCAGAGAAAATTAATTACGTAATTGTTTTCATTGTATCTGATGTATGCGACATTAATTTACAAATTTTAGATATGTTAGTTGAAATGTTAAATATCCGTTGATCGAACGATTATTCCCTCACCTGCTCTGACTGTTCGGAAGACCCAATCAGTAAAACGATGGATTTATTTGAGAAACTTATTGAGCGATTGCAGTGATGGTCATTAGGGTTATCATGTTTCAATATCACTATCGCGATACATTTATGGCCATTTGTGGTTGGATTTGTAAAAGGGAGACGTTTGCAGTCCGCTCCAGTCCACATCGCTGAACAGTAAGTGACGCATTCATAACGTTGAATGATTTGGAGCTCATATTAGTAACTGTCTACAAACACATTGTGGTGATCCGGGCCTATAAGGTGACGCATACCCTGGAGCGAAGCGTAACAGTTTTAAGACAACTGTGATCAACCAAGTTTCACGGGTGACGTCAGAAAAGCGCGTGCGTGTCACGGCTTCTGGACTACATAACATAAGTCGATCGTAAAAGCCAATGAGAACCCATGCGGCCCAGACAAAAGCAGTACAATGGCATAAATACTTGAACGCGATTGGCAGAGGCCCGGATGACCAATGATCTTGTTTCGTACATATTATCTCATCCTCCTTATTTCTTTCGATAAACGAACTACTACTCCTGTGGCCTTTTCCTCACGTCTCAGTTACGTGGGATATTGCTTGCGAGTGCCGGTGCGACCCAGTGCTTACGTGACGTCCATGACTGCTAATCAGTGACTCGTATTCCGTGATTCGTGTTTCGTGTTCACTGCGTACTACCACTATCATTACTACATCTCTTTACCCCCATCACTGTAGCGGTTGGGTACCGGAGATTCCAACACCCTACTGTGAGCTACGTACCACATTTTCTTTTAGTCGTTTCCTCCCCCATTTCAACCGCACAGGTCCTCAAACATGCTTTGAGACTTGCAGTTTAGCTATTGAGAGAGAGCAAATCGAGTTATTCTCATTGTCTCCATTGTTTTCAACGCGTCTTGACAAATGTGATTACGACGCGTAATGGAACACAGGGTACACACACTAGTGCATAAGCTATGTTATGAAAATGGGAGACGAAAAGAGATTGCTGAGTCAGTCAATTCAGGGATTGAAATTACGAAATCAAACGATCAGTAGTCAAAACAACATCGAAAATAGAATGCTGGCCTTATCATAATGATTACAAGTATCATTTGAGTTGCAAAATAAAAAAAATCTCGCAGATGCATCATCTCTCTTTCTGTCTTCAAAAACGTGTTGTGCGGTGAAGTATTGCACAGACTATGGGATTTTGCAGACATTTTGAATTACAATCGTTACTCCCCCTCCTCTCCCCGCTCTCTTAGTGGTTAGCGGTTAGAACAACCATTCTACTATCTATTCTCGAATATGAGGCAACCAAGTAGCGTACCGTGTTTTGAATGTCAGACGTTGTGTGACAGAATAGTTTAGGATTCTACCAGGACTTAACCACCTATCTTAAAAATAAAAGGAGGAAGGGAGATTTGCCTGTCCCACCACCATTTTTGGCATCCGTGTTTAAATAGAAGAACCCATTACCAGTTCTTTTGGGGTCCATGAAGGAGCGTAATAGGAAATTTAGCGTCTAACCAATTGGACTGAAGTAATTCAATCAGTAATCAACTGGCATATTTGATGGAGCATTACCCCGGAAAACCACGTGTGTGTGCGAATTTTCTTCATGGAGACCACGCTGGCATGTTTAGCATAGTGGAGACCCGATTCTCGATATCTTTGTGGAGTGTTTTCGCAAACTGGCAGATTGATACCATCTATTCTAGTGTAATGCTCATATGCCGAATCCCGGGGGATCTAATGTCTCCGACAGGGTCTTTGGACTATGCTCCCTAACGAAAGTTCACTGAAAACTACATCGCGCGTAAATTGAGGTAGTTCAAATAGTTTAGAGAGAGCATACGAAACTGTGCTTTTTAAACTGAGTGGAAGGCCTTTTGTGCAAATGAATATTACAAGGTTTGTCACTCGCCATTTCTCCTGTGTCTGCTCGTCTGTTTGTCCTATACTAATCGACCTTCGCCAGATAGATTGAAATTACACATAAAATCTCATTTTGCTGGACATCTTGGACACTAAATCAAACCCAAAAACAACAGGATATATGTTCAACCAGGGAACAATTGAGAAAAAGTAAAGTGTATTTTTTATCCCAATAATCTTCCTGTTTTCCATACAAGAAAATTATCGTGCATGTGTATGTTTGGTGAATATAATCATTGCTCTGCGCATGGATAAAATGTCACACTTTGAAAAGAAAAGCGGAATTGATTTCACATCCGTTTTTCTTCTGATCAATGCATAAATGAACTCATCTGCAGATTTCTACAGTTCCGATCTCAGTGATAATAATTTACGAGGACATCGAACAGGTGATTGTACAGTATGTGGCTTGTTCTGTTTACGTTCCGAGAACTTCGCGTTCTGTTTAATCAATCGAAGAATAGGTAAAAATGATTATCATTGTAATGTGTTTGAGAACCAAGGTAGGTGATAAGGGAATCAAAAACCAAATTGCTAAATAAGAAACAGCAGACAAACAGAACATTTCCATTCCAAAACACAACCGTAAACTTAAGCACTGCAGACTGGACTTGTGGAAAGATGCTAGTGCTGATGAACTTCAAAACAGAGCCGTATTGCAAAGGACTTCGATCGGCTAGGTAAGGGTAGTGTAGAGTAAATCAGAACTTACAAAACTATTGCGCATAGGTTTTTTTAACAAAATGTACAAATCACGTTGATCATCCAATCCCATAAACACGCACAATCGATGTCGATTAGGTAGTTGGGAGTGGTTTGTATTTTACCGTGATTTTGGATCTTTTTCTTTGTTATAAACATTACTGTAACCTGATTTGTTTGGCACAGTCTGAATTCACGCCTGGGAAGTGCACGTTTTGTTAGCCGTTCAATCGTATGCTATAAATCGCTACTAAACATCAATACTTCGATTTATGCTCGCCTCCAAACATTTGATGTTGTCTTTCGCCTCTTCTAAGGGTGTCACCAAACACCTGGGACTTTATACTGACATCTCTGATCCTCTTTCTTATGAAACTGATCCCACAAATTGTGGTGACCCTAGTCTACGGGATAACGCCAGCCACGGAGCGACTCGTTACAGTTTCTGGCACCTGTGATGCGTTAACCCTCCCAGATGATTTAAGCCAAACGCATCAACGCGTTACAGTTTCTGGATAACGAACCACAGCCCAATCGTGCCGACCAGTCACAAGTCGCGCGGTCCAGACAGAAGCTGTATGACGTCAAGAATAAAAGCAGGCCGTTGGTGGATGCTCGTATAACCAATAAACTTCCTTTTTACATATTATTTAATCCCATTGATTTTTTTCAGTAAACGAACTGCTAGTTTTGTGACCCTTTTCCTGCGTTTCGGTGACGGGAGATTCGAGCGCACAAGTGCTAGTGCGGTTCAGTATTTCATTTGCGTTCGTGATTCGTAATCTATGCGTAGTTCGACTACTGCACAAATGTTATTCGATTTGATTGAGGTCGGATGATCTAGGTGGTACTAGGAACGTCTTCGCACAGTGATAAGAATGAAACTTGCATGCTATGGGAGGATATGCGCTTCTTGATCATGGAAAATAGCTTCAGTACTTACGCTCGACCGCAACGAGATGTGTTGGATCGGGATTTCTAGGCATTTTTCCTCCTTATCGATTGTATCCCGAAGAATCAGCAAGATATAATCTTCCATTAGATACTCCTGCCCCAGATCTTACGCGAAATCTCCATTATGCGTCATTGCTATTGTCATCATATCAGAGATGTACCGCAAAACACACCTTCAATGATCGTGCTTGATTGTCAAAAATACTGATTCATCGATGCGAATGATCGGTTTACACTGTTCGTACCCCGAAACACACTTAATCATTGATCGCTCTAAGCAAAACTTTCGGTGACGTTCAAGCAACACAGGAACATAAATGTGAGTTCTTGATCGAGACCCGTTTCAGAAATCGATGGGATACTGCGGACAGAGGCTGGATAGCGCGATAGATTACCGAGCACATGACCGATTAGATTTGAGGGTATTAAATGAGAGTTTGAGAGCCTGAGCATAACGATTGTGCGATCTATTTTTTGTTGGATTTCGTTGATAAATATCCGTACTTTCGAATCAGTCTTACCATGTGCTTTTTTGTACCTCTTGAAAGACTGGAATATTTCGGTAACTTACGCTGTAATTTCTTTCATACCCATATTCAGCTTACACGGTAGGTGGCACTCGCTTTTGCACGTGTCACGTGAACTTGAAAGAACAGATATGTGTGTGGATATCAAACCATCCGTCTAACCCTCAATGCAACCGTATCGCGTGCAAATAGAATCGGGTTTGGCTATACAGAAATATTTGGAGTTAACGGTGTGAACCAAAGAGAATCAATCATATCCTAGATAGGGCGAGAGCTATTTTCAGCGAATAGTGTGCCCTAGTGCTGTCCTGTCTACCAAATCCTCATCAGCACCTGTCGTCCTACTTGCATGATAGCTCTCTGTCTCTTCCTACATCTCGTGGCTGATGTGTTTATGATCTGACCCGACTTTACACTACACACTCACCATTGCAACGCGTCTGGCATTGAATTCGGTCAACCGATTCTGACTGATCACCAAGTGCTCGGTTGTCGCATGGCTTCCGCTAACCCACGGGTGTTGAAGCATGTCAGATGTGAGAGCCCGTTGTTTCGGATCCACGACAAGCCATCGTTTGACCGCATCTTTCCCGTTCAGACTGACCTGATCCCAAGCCTCCCCGGTATAGGGGATCTCGCCAAGCAGTATGGCCCGAAACAAATCTTCATCGATTTTAGGATGAAACGGATCGCTTCCGGACAGCCTACAGAGGACGTAAAATAACGTATTTTTCTTGTAGATGATCCCTTTGGTTCCCTAATTGTGAAACAAATGCCATAGATTCAAATATTTTACAATAAACATAAATTAAAAGTGCACACTAACTTGCAATGATTCATGGGGTTTAGCTAAGGAACTTACGGTACACTGAAGATTCGTTTTGTTCTGCGGACTGCTTGCAATTCAAATTCGAAATACTACGCGACAAGAGGTTCAGGAATTAAGTTTCGGGTGATTTAATTTTAGTATATTCATCGGGAAAACTATATCACAACGACGACCAGTTAAGAAGGTTTGTGTTTCAACACATGTTGTTGGGGAAAATGTTCGGTTCCTGTCGAAAGTTTCCCTCGAAAACCGTATTCTAAGGATGATTACCTTAATACCAGTCATCAGGCAGTTTATTGGGAAAATAAAAGCACTTTTTCGTTGAAATACCAGTTTAAAAGCTTACAAAATATCTGTAAAATCTATCGCAGTTAGTAACGCACTGGTTAACGGCATCCATTTTACTCCTCATGTTCTGGCATGTGGTTCACCTTTAAAAGTATGCTGATAAAACAAGTGAATTTATGTCATTCAGTCAAGTGTTTCAAAAGGTTTGCATATGTCGTGTGTATAACTGATTACAACCCAATCTACAAGAAGTTCCTCAGAGTAAAAGATGACGAGGGCAACAGTTTCAGCTGCCAAAATATTAAAAATCGGTTTTCGTAGCTCGGGTGAACTGAATTCCATTTCGCCTGTTCGCCGAGCTTGGCAATTTGTCTGCAAACGTTTCATCACCAGCCGAGGTGACATCATCAGTGCTTGTGAAGTGGCC